GATGATTTTTCAAGGATGACGTGGCTCTATTTAATGAAAGAAAGAAGTGAATTGTTTACCATTTTTCAAAAATTTTATGCTGAGATTCGTAACCAATTTGGTACCCACATCAAAGTTTTCCGTTCTGATAATGACCGCGAATATTTATCCTCATCATTTCAGGAATACCTGGACCAACACGGCATTATACATCAGACCTCGTCTACCTACACCCCACAACAAAACGGGGTGGCTGAGAGAAAAAATTCGGTCTGACTGAGTTCAATTATGTAGAAGAAAAAGTGATAAAGAAAGAGAGAGAGAGAGAAAGAGAGAAGAGAGAATTCTGGTTCGAACTGAAAGAGTCAACHYRVCTTCTCCCARTYGRCYAGTAAGTATTTATATTATTATTAAAACATGACTGAAAAGACCTATGTGCCCTTACTTAAGTTAAGAGCACATATTTCAACACAACATTACAGATCAGCAACATCAATCAAGGTATAAAGACAGAAATACCCCTACGCTAACAAGTCTCAATAGGCCGACTGTCACAAAATTAGGGTTTCTAAATCAGAACCCTCCTGTTATCTACTACAAACCCAGTAGGCCGATTGGTATAGTAATTAGGAAGCATTCTAATGGAGTTTAAAAGCCAAGGGGAGGGTGTTTTTGGGGCTGGTTCAGGCAGCATGGTTGAAAACACCTTGGGCGATGTGAAGGAACCAACCAAGGAGGATCCCACTTATACTAAGTGGATTCAGGAAAATTATTTGGTGATGACATGGTTGTGCAACTCTATGCAGCCACACATGGTTGTGCAACTCAAAGGGGCATTTATGTAGTTCTAGCTTAATTAAGGAGTCTTAAAGGAGAATTTTTATTTTTTGATCAATAACAGTAATTTTATTAAAAATATACGAAAATTACAACCAGATTGGAGGGGTAAGAAATCTTAACCCTCACTTACAGAACTGAAAACACCTATTACAATATAGCCCAAAAGAAATTAGATCTTCCCACCCCCTGTTTAGCCAAGGTGTCAGYCATGGAATTARTGCTYCTCTTGGYCCATTGAACCCTTACAATCATATTCTGAGTTAGCTGCTTGATTTTCTTTCTCTCATTTGAGAACTTCCACAGGCTAGACTCTTCCTTCTGCAACCAACTAACAATCAATTGAGAGTCTCCTTCCACCAGCAGCTTACTAATATTCAACCGCTTAGTTATTTTTACTCCTAGAACTACCAGGATTTCAGCTCTCAGAGAATCCCTGAAAACATAGCAATAATTTGACCTTCTTCATCCCTGAAAATACCACCTATAAATCCTAAGAACATAGCAATAATTCGACCTTCTTCATCCCTGAAAATACCACCTATGCCTAAAGGGCCTAGATTACCTTCACTGCTACCATCAAAGTTCAATTTGATGAAACCCAAATCTAGTGGAGTCCAAACAGGTTCAATAGCACTAGACATAGGAGCTGACCGAGCCACTTCTTCCCAGTTTTTAATGATGTCTCCTACTGAATAGGCTTCAAAAAGCTTCAAAGACTTGACCTAGTGTGCCACCCTAACATAAACAATTTCTATGAGGGCTTCCTTGCTTTTTTCTTTGTCATGAAATAATCTTTGATTTCTTTCTTCCCAGACCGTCCAACAAATAGCAGCTCTAGCACATCTCCACAAAATTTTACCTCTCTTCTTTAAACCCCTCGTTGGAGTGGAACTAAACAAGCTTTGCACGCTTGAAGGGGAGGGCCACCTGCAACCAAATAAAAAAAAGAACCAACACCAAATCTCTAAAACAAAAGGGCAAGAAACAAGTGATAACAGCTTTCACCATTCTTCTTACATAAGATGCACCAATGCGGAGATAAACACCAATTAGGCCTTTTCTTTTGAAGTATGTCACAAGTGTTATACTTTTCTAGGATTGCTTCCCAACAAAAAGCACCTACCCTAGGAGGGATAGGGCTACCCCAAACTTCCCAGACCGGAAAAGAACACCCAGGTACCGGACTAGGCTGTGTCAATGCTTTGAAAAAAGAGCAGCAGGAGAAGATACCCGAAGGGACAAGAGACCAAACCCTAGAGTCCACACTAGAAGGTTCAAGAGCTACCTCATCCAAGATTTTAAGCAAATTCAAAATGGGTTCCAACTCAGAATCTCTGAGAGCCCTTCTAAGACCCAAGTTCCAACCAATAGCAGAATTAGATAGGGTAGCAAAGGTTGCTACTGGTTCATTTTTAAACCTAGACAGAGCATACAAGGAGGGGAACTGCTCTTTCAAAGGAAAATCCCCCACCCAAGTGTGTTCCCAAAAATTTACCGACAAACCAGAACCAAGATCATACTTGATGAAGGGAAGAAAAGACTAAAGGATGGCATGAATGGACTTCCAAGGAGAAGCTCTTGAAGCCCTAGATGATAGTCCCGGATCCCGGCCAGCTGCCTCTTGCCCATGAATACTTAGGATTATTTTAGCCCATAGATTCTCCTTTTCTTTGGACCACCTCCATAACCATTTCCCTAACAGAGTTCATTCTTCTTCAAGTTCACCAGCCCCAGTCCCCCTTCACTTTTAGCTCGATCTATCATAATTAAAAAGGAGGTTACATAAATGCCCCTAGTAGGGTGGTTGTTAATAAGAATAAGAGAAAGAAAATAAATAAACACAACAAAAGGGGCCTAAGGCCCATAATAACTAAAACCCACAATAATAAAAAAAAAACAAAGAAATAAAGAAAGGGACAACTAGGGAGTTGTCCGACTCAATATCTCAACACTCCCCCTCAAGCTGAGCATGGATATCGATCATGCGTAGCTTGCTTATATAGTGTTGCAACTTAGCCTTAGGAACTCTCTTGGTGAGAATATTTGCCAATTGTTCTTCTAAAACAACAAATGCTAGACAGACATATCCAAATGCTACTCTCACCCATATAAAATGTCTATTTGCCTCAATATGTTTGCTTTTCAAGTTGAATGGGGTTATGAAAGTTGTAAGTCACAGCTACAATAATCTAAATTAAAAGAAAGGAAATAGGAGAAAAGGAGATTGAAGAGAGAGAAGTGATGGAGGAAGAAGATGGAAGAAAAGGAAGAAGAGAGATGACCAAATGACTCGAAGAAAAAAAAAGGAAAGATAACTTATTTTATTCCTCCAGTTTGCTTTAAAAGTCTGGAAGCAAATGACTCGAAGAAAAAAAGGAAAGATGACCAAAATGTAAATGACATAGAATGACTCGATTAATAGACTCTAATCAAATAGACTCCAAAACAATTCCTTGAGGTGGTACTAGACTCTTGTCAGGTATATACAGCTAGTATATCCCATTCCCCTCATGGCAACTCCCAATCATCTTCCGAGATTCAGTTCCTGAAGACTGCTAAACTACTAACCGACAAAAGATTAGTATTATGTTTAGGAACATGAAGAACAGAAGATAAAACAAGAGAGACTGAGGTACTGATGTCCCCCACTCCCCCTTACCTGAAATAGGAGCAAGGGATATATCTTTTCACGGCCAAAAAGGAATTGGTATAAGCTAAAAAGATTGGACATGATAGTCATATGATCAAAAGCACCATAATCTATAATCTAAGGAATTCTACAATTACCTGACATAGTGGCATGATTTGCAAGAGTACAAATACCTAAGTGCGCAAAGGCGGATGAGGAAGTGTTGCCTAAAGAGTTGGAACCTGCAACTATGGTCTCCAGGTGGTTTATCAGCCTCCATATTTTTCATATTCTGCCTTTTCAACAGCCAATTACTCGATTAATTTCTCACCACCACACCCTTTTTCATCCTTTGAAATAGTAGCCATGTTTGCATTTCCAGTCTTCCCAATCTTCTCATTATTATTATTGTTATTCCGGAACCATTGTGGTAGAAGCTCTAGGTGTAGTTTCCAACAAGTATCTTTAGTATGCTTCAGCTTCTTACAATGATCACATATCACTTATTTCTTTTCATTAGTGCCCTTAGACTTCATCCCTGCATGTGCAAAATGTGTTGAAAATGGTGGAGCTGTAATTGTACCTACTGCCTGCTCTCTTCATTACTGACCATGGTGTATGCCTGAGCAAGAGTCACTTCGTCCTTTGCCAAAATATTCTGTTTGGTTACATCAAACTCAGGGTTGAGTCTAGTGAGAAACTCAAAAGCCTTGTTCCTTTCCATCAACTTTCTATAAATCTCAGCATCCTTATTACTTTCTCAAACCACCATTTCCAATACATCAATCCCCTGCCATAGGGACTTAAACTATTGACATCATTCTTCAATTTATAGGCCCTAGCAACATTCAATTTTTGAAAATAAGTTTCTATGACACCATCCCAAATCTCCTTGGCTGAATCAGACCAAAGGTAATGTTGAATCAACCATTATGGAGTTGATGACTATAGATGTTTTTGGATAACTGGATATTATTTTGTTAGCATTATGGAAGGAGACCCTCAATGGTATAAGGGGCCATTTCTATGCAATGGTAAAACCATTAGTTGACAAGCACGAACACAGGTTCAACTCTGAAAACAGCCATTTCATGCCAACATGATTAAGGTTAAGTCCATAACCAGTCCACTCCTCCCAAGACCTAGGATGCCAGGAGGCCCAGGACCATGCACTGGGTAATAACCTTTTTTTATCCTTGGCAGTATAACATAAACAAACATTTTGTTGTTAATTACCTGGATTCACGAATGAAAAATGAATGCCTTGAGGGAAGAAGTTGCTCTGTCAAGTTTCTTTCTTGCATGGACAAGATAAAATCCATTTCCTCCAGATCGCCTTTGACACAGGATAACTGATGAGAAAAGAACAATGAAAATGTGTGGACACCAACAACATAAACCATGTTAGTGCATAGATCAACACATAAAAATAAATCAATACAGAGAGAAAAGTACTCTATTTGTTTCTTTCTTTTTAATAAAACACTCTCATTAGTTATCCCTAGAGAAACTGAACAAAAGAAGGAATGCATGGACATGCATATTTTTTTATAAAAGAGTTGGACTTCATAATTAAGGTAAATGCTCTCCTAAGGAATCATACAGCATTTGCTTCTATGTGGGCCTTCTAAAGCTGTATAAATAGTGTAGTTGTTGAACTGGAGTCCTCATTTGTCAGATCAGAATCCAAGTGCACCATGGGCACAAAACACAAAGTCAAAATGGACAACATCAGCTGAGTAGAGCCAAATGATCTGGCTGCAGAAGATTCTAGCAGCAGTATTAATTGTCAATAGTGGCACTGTTCAAGGAGAAGAAAAATTGCAAAGATTCCATTGGATAACCTTGATTTTTTCTTGCTTCCTTTCTTATTTTAATAGGTGTGAAAGAAGGTAAGTGGTTAGTCATTAGCAGATGGATAACGAACTTTCATCCTCATCCAGGAGTTAACCCAGCAAACCTTACTAATTGTTGCCCCTGTTTCTGTAATAGCAGAGACACTAGCCTATCATGATTTCCTTAGCAAGTGCTGTAGACAAGTGTTCTATGTAAATTGGCAGTTCATCTTCTAATGATCATTTTAGCCTTCTCACATTTTTAATCGACAGATATTCATCAAAAGAAATAGAAATATGAAATACAAATAAATAGAAAGCTGTAGGTGTCATCCGTAGGCCATTCACAATGAGAAATGATCAAATTCCCACACCAGAGAGGGGGTATATAAAACTCAACTTTAATGGGAGTAGCATTGAAATTCTTGGACCCTCACACATTGGAGGTGCTTTCAGAAATGAAGAAGGAAACATTATAGGCATGTTCTTTGCACTGATTGTATTTTCCCTTTATTTAATTAATATAATAAAATGATTGATTATTGATCAAAAAAATTAGTGATAACTCCGCCACTGTGAGCTTTTCTTGCATTGCTGGTCGCAAACCCAGATAAATGAGGGTTGTACCAAGTTGGCAGTCATTATTAGAACCTTTTTCCAAACTCTTATGGTCATGGATCCTAAATTGTCTTTTCATGCTTATGCTAGGCCTTTAACTGGAAGCTACGTGCTACACCTTAACCCAAGTGTAGTGAGAAATGGGCAAAGGCATGCCAATGCGTTCCCTAAAAGTGATGCACCACAACAACATCCAGTTGTGGAGAGAAATAGGCAAGGGTTTCCTCATCCTTTTGGACAAAGGCAGTCAAAGAAGTTAGTCAAAGAAACACAAATTCAATTGGCCAATTGGAATATAGGAACATTAATAGAAAAGACAATGGAATTAGTATTAACAATGAAAAGGAGAATGATTAATATTGCATCTTTTACAAAAAACAAAATGGAAGAGGAAAAAGCTAAAGAAATTGATGTCTACAAACTATGGCACATGGAAGAAGTAAATAATAGAAATGGAGTAGGAGTAAGAGGATACTAGACAAAGATCTAAAAAATGAAATTTCAAATGTTAAAAGAGTTGAAGATAAAAGACTTTTTAATTAGACTTGTTTTAGGTGAGGATATCATTAACATAATTAGTGTTTATGCACCCCAAGTGGGTTTAGAAGAAAGCATATAATTAGGACAGGGCTTAGATGATGATGATGATTGTAGTAAAATCCAGTGGAAAGAAAGAAAAGAATGGATAGGGGAAGAGAGAAAGAATAGATCCAAAAGTCAAAGTGGTGGCTGTTCCACTTTGTCTACCACACAGGGATGGGGATACAACTCCAAATAATTCATGCTTCCTCGTTACTCCTACTTTTTCTAGCACACAGGGATGGGGATACAACTCCAAATAATTCTTTCAACCTTCCATAATGTCCAGAACACAGGGATGGGGATACAACTCCAAATCATTCTTGCTTCCTCTAAACCTTGGCCAAGAAGAAAATATTTCTGCAGGTGAGGAAGGTTGAAAATCCGGCATGCCACAGGAAAGAGTAGTACTGCCAAATATAGTTCGCCACCTAAAAGCATGTCTGTATTTCCATGGAGCTGATCCGAGATTCTTGGACCAAGATATGACTAACTGAGAATCTCCTTCCATTTCCAATTCCCTTACTCCAAATTGTACAACAAGCCTTAATCCATGTAAGACAGCCATCACTTCAGCTTGTACTGAATCTCCAAAGCAATTGTCCTGAAAATAATGCCACCACTACTCCTTCGTGGTATCTAAAAACACCTCCTATCAAGTTAAGCTTCAATTTGTTAAAAGATGGAGGTTTCCAAACCATTCTTACACTTTCTGCAGGTCTAACTGTTTGTGCCACTTCAGTCCAGGATCTTATCATGTCATTTGTTGAAAATTATTGAAAGAGACCCAATGTGCTGTTCTTACTATTACGGCTTCAAACAGCTCCTCCTTTGGTTTGCTCTTCTCATTAAAGATTCTCCCATTTCTTTCTTCCCATACAGTCAAGATCAGCGCTGCTCTTGCTGTCCTCCACATAACTCTTTTTTTTATCAGCAAAAAGATTGTTTCATAAATTAAAATGTGGAGTTAATTACAGAATGATGACCCAATAGTCATCCCCAAGGATTACAACCCAAGTTACAATCAGGCCCAATATAGTTGCTGCCTTGCAGCCCCTTGTTTGGCTAAAGTATTTGCTAACCCATTTGCACTCCTCCTGATCCACCTAAAATCACCATTTATACCCTTTGCTAATCTCTCCACTTCTCTGAAGGTATACTTGAGGGCCCATGGGACATGTCCATTACATTTTTCCCAAGATATTACAAATTTTGAGTCCCCCGCCACTTCCACCTGACAAAAACCCAATTGCTTTGCCAATCAGAGGCCCTGTAATAATGCCAATAACTCAGCCTTTGTTGAGTTTGTAATACCAATTGGTCCTAAATATAGACCCAACATCTTGCATTCTTCATTTCTGATTGCTCCCCCAATTCCTGCCACTCCCGGGTTGCCCATAGAGCTTCCATCAAAATTCAGTTTCACTTTGTTTACCTCTGGTGGTTTCCACTCAACTCTTATAGTTTCCTTGCCCCTAGAGGACTGTGCTATCTCTTTCCATGTCCTTTAGATGTCAGTTACAGAGAAAACTTGAAAACTGTCCAAGGTTTTTATCCACAATGCAACCCTCAGTTTTATGTTGTCAATGACCTCTTCCAAAGTTATAGATTTTCCAACAAAAATTCTATTATTTCTTTCCTCCCATACTCCAGCAATAGCCGCTTTTGGTAACCTTCCACATAATTCTCCCTCTCTTCTTTGGTTGCCTCATGAAGTTAGGATTGAAAATGTCTGTCACCTCTTGGGGAGGCTCCCATCTGCAACCGAAGAGAGAACAGAAAAATTCCCAAATACGACGTACAAATGGGCAAGAGATCAATAAGTGGGAGAGGGAATCTCCACTATTCCTACAAAGAAAACACACATGAGGAGAGAGACTAGTGGATGGCCTCCTTTTCTGCAGCAAGTCGCAAGTATTTACCTTACCAAGGAAAAGGGTCCAACAGAAACCTTGGATTTTTGGTGGAGTAGGTTTGCTCCAAATTTCTTTCACTGGGAGAACTACCCCTTGGGGCCTAGCATAAGCAAGATGACTGAAAAAAGAGGAGCAAGAGAAGAGCCCATCTGAAGAGATTACCTAGAATCTAGAATCCTCCAAATTGGGGTCTGAGTAAACTGATTGCAAGGTTCCAAGGAGTTCAGTCAACAAGATACACTCTCTATCCCTAAGGCCTCTTCTGAAACCAAGATTCCAGTTGATACCTGAATTGGAAGCCACACCCAAATTAGAAATGGTTTCATTCTTGAAGTCGGAAATGGTATAAAGGTCAGGGAATTGATCTTTAAGTGGTAATTCCCCAACCCAAAGGTCTTCCCAAAAACGGATTATATTCCCCTTTCCCACATCAAAACAGATGGAACTAGAGAATGTATAGGGTAGACTTCGTGAATAGCTTTCCAAGGAGAGGCTGAAGTGGAATGATGAGCCAATTTAGCATCCCAGCCATTGCAATCTAGACAATGAATGCTTGCAATTACTTTGTGCCACAACCTATCTCTTTCGAAGGGAAATCTCCATAACCATTTACCCAACAATGCGGTGTTCCTTAGGGCAATGTTTCCTAATCCTAGACCCCCTTGCTCTTTTGGCTTAATAACCTGTTCACATAACTCTTCCTCTCTTCTGTTGCCTTAAGAAACTGTCCTCCACAAAAGGGCGGGTAACAAGTAAATGAGGAAAGGTCTCACCAATTTCCTTGCAAAGGGTACACACATGAGGAGAAAGGCATTTATTGGCCTTCTTTTCTATAGCAAGTCACAGGTTTTGATCTTCCCAAGGAGCACTTCCCAACACAAAGCTTGTACTTTAGGAGCAATAGGTTTGCACCAAATTTCTTTAACCAGGAAAACTTCCCCCAAAGGCTTTGACTAGACAAAAAGGTTAAAGAAGGAACCACAAGAGAAAAGGCCACTAGGCGAAAGGAACCAAATTCTTCCATCTGGAGAGTTAGGGTCCAAAAAGACATTTTCGAACTTTGACAATAAGAAGACAAGGGAATCAAGCTCAAAATCTCTCAGACCTCTCCTATCCCAAAATCCCAATTTATACCAAGTTCTGATGGTAAACCAAATTTTGAGATGGGTTCAACCTTGTAATTGGAAAGAGAAAAGAGTAAGGGAAATTGTTGTTTCAGTGGTAGATCCCAAAGCCAAAGATCTTCCCAAAATAGGACCCTCTCCCCATTGCCCACATCAAACTATGTGAAACTAAGAAAGGTTGGCAATACCTCTATTATTGCTTTCCAAGGGGATCTTGGATAAGTATGAGGTGCTAAATTTGCATCCCAGCCATTTTCTGTCATACTGTGAATGCTTTCGA